AAATATGAATATACTGTGCTGCCTTTGACATGGTTTGCCTTTTTGCTGAGAGTTGGATGATGAAAACCACTCCCATGTCTGCTCTTAATATTTAGCTACAGCCAGCAGCTGGCTTGCATAGCTTAGCATAAAGAGTGGAAACAGGGGGAAACGGTTAGCCTGGCTCTGTCCAAAGGTAACAAAATCCCACCAGGACCTCTAAAGCTCCCTATTTAGCACAATACTTACTTTAACTCTCGGCAAGAAATCCAATAAGTGTATTTCGCAAAAGGTGGAACTATTCCTTCAAAACACGCCCCAGAAATTCATCATTTACATCCAGTAAAACAGTAAAGTGCCATAATGTAGTCAGTCATATGTCATTATTGATATAGGTTATTTGAAATAATTTGTCACAAGGATAAACTGATGTGTTAATTTTAGCTAGGATGATTCTTGAGCAAGCATGAAATGTCTGTGTACATTTTATAATCAAGAAACATACTGTTCCATGCCTCCTGCATGTGGATGATACTTACTGGAAATGTAATAATTTGCTGCTTTATGATGACCTGGAATATACGACTTATAGAACCTCCTCAGCAGCTTGACAGATGGTTACATGGTGGTAAAGAATGAGGGCATTACCATTTGAGGATACAGTACAGCACAGTACATGAGGCTCCTTAATGTTGGAGCAGTAGGAGGGGCAACATAATGAGAAGCCAAGCTGAGTCTTCACAGAAGCAATTTAAGTTCAAATCAGACCTCAGGGAAACAAAGAAAGCCCCGGTGACATGTAGCCTGCTCAGAGTAAATCACCTCTTACATTGTGTCTGGGCTCACCTGATAACTTGGTAGGTTTTTACATTTCCCTTTGAAAAGGATTTTGTCACTCAGGTTGAGGACACCACTGGGGCCTCAGGACCTAAATGACTATTTGAAATTGCAGCGTGGACAATTGTGCATCATTTTTTGTGCTCCCTGTGGAAAACAATAGCTTGTGAGAAGATGCATAAATGACTATAAAATTTTAACTAGGCATATTTTGGTTAGAAATGATCTGAACAGATGTACTGTATTTCATTTTCTTTCCTTTGCTGCAGATTTCTCACAGAGCAAAATAAAGTGATCTTATACCTTTTGTCATATTGCAACAAGTAGAGCTGAAAGAATTAGTGTATTGGGAGGAAATTAATCTGCAAATATCCTGATTATAAATTATATTTATGTCTACGTATATATACTTTTGCCAGTTTCAACTGTGAGGATATTCTGCTGAAACTGAAGATCTTTGGGTTTTGGACATTTGGTTGGATGTCATAGTGTCTGAGACATGGCTTTTTTTCACTATTTTCTGACATTTTATAGACAAAGAAATCAAGATTCTTTGGAATATTATTAATTATTAGCAGTAAAATGGTCTCTAATAAAACAGGGATGGCTATTCTTACATTATTAAAGGTTAATTTTCCAGTTAGAGTATATGAAGGTCTTCTAATGCATTTTCTTCTGCTGCCTCTTCCTGGCTGATTCTGCTGACAGGGGTGGTTTAGCACATTAGAATGCAAACATCTGCTAATTAGCACAAACACAACTGAGGCTGATGGGAATGTCATTAGTTTTTGGTCAAATACCAAAGTAATGGACAAATTAAAATCTGGCTTGATGGCGCTAGAGGAAATCTCATACAATATGCTGAAGCGATAGAACAGACCAGGAAATGGAGCATCAACATGGTCATATCTCCAGAACACTGAGGTCAGTATGGCACATAGTGAAACCCTAATAGGATTGGTTGACCTTCCTTGTGAATGCTAACATCCATTCACCTCCTTTACATTCCAGCAAACAGAGCTGTTTGTTTGTATGTCGACTCCTACGTGTCTGAACGCCATTGCCCAGATCCGGCTGGCCAGTCGCAATATTGCATTATTCATAAAACATAAACACACAAAATGGATTCCACTGGTCCACTCCCCACCTAAGTCAGAAGATTAATGAGTCACTCTTTAGGTTATAATTCAAAGTTCATCCTCACATACATCATATTTTGAAGCACATAGATTATAAGAGAGAGAACATTTATCATATGACAGGGCATACACAAGCTCTCCTGCACACATAACACACACACACAGAAACACTCTTGTCTCCTGCTGCACACACACTCGTGCACACACAATTTGTTTAAACACCAGGCCCCACCAGAGTGAACCTCCTCTTTCACATCCAGTTATTCTAATTTTATTCAGACACATCTCCTCTGAAGCATTAAAGTGCCGTTTGCACAAACAGATGAGAGATAATAGTCTAAGAAACTGGTCATTCCTATACTCTGCTGCCCTGTGAGAGCAAGAAAGATGATAATCATTCATCACAATAATCAAACCATGAGACATATGCAGGATTTCATGTAGTTCCCTTCAACGTCTGACTAGCAAAATTGGTACTTTCAAATTAGGAATGCAGGTAACAGCATGCTGTGGTTTGCCTGTGGAATAATTTCAAATAAAATGCTATGTACTGGTCATTCAAAAAAATATACAGTATAGAAGGGTTTTTTTGTACATATTATAGAATTTGCATGGTGTGCCTCTTAGCAGCCATTCGCATGGATACAGTATTTACCTACCTCTTAATATAATAACAAGAAATTGTTTCTCATAATTAATAAGATAATGCTGACTTTCTATCTGGTTGCTATTTCCTCAGTGAATTTAAATTGTCATTGTTTTATTAAATTTTTTTTTAGATTCCTTTCCAGAAAAAGGCATATTTTAAAGGAATAGTTTGCCATTTTGGGAAATATGCTTATTTGCTTTTCTCTTAGGTCTTTATTGTAAATATGAAGCTACAGCCAGCAGGTGTTTGGTTTAGCTTAGCATAAATACTGATGACGGGAGGAAATGGCTAGCCTGGCTCAATGTGCAGTAACTTCTGGGAATCTCTGCTTACAACTTGTCATTTTACACTTCGGTTTTTGTTTGTATTTAACAAACAAGACATAATGTGTCATTTAGTGAGGTTTAGAGGAGCTGGAAGGAGGATTTTTTCACCTTTTGATAAAACAATGCTAGCTGTTACACTCTTTATGCTAAGCTAAGTTAGCTGGCTTATGGTTTGAGCTTCATATTTACTGTGATAAGACACGAGAGTGGTATCAAACTTATGATCTAGCTCTCTGCAAGAAAGCTAAAAAGTGCACCATCGTATTTGTGAAAGATGCATTTCCTGTATATTTTTGAAACAGAACTCAAAAGCAGCAGCAGTGGGGAAAAAAATAGTAAAAACCATGACAGTGACAGTTACATTTATGGACCGTATAAACATGCATGAAAATGACGAAAAAGGAATGGCAAGCTCATCAAAAATAATTCATCCCAGAATACAAATCTGGTACATTGGATTAACTGCTGGTCACAAATGAAACACAGACTTCATCAACTTTCGAGCAATTTGTACTGACAGCTGATAACCTCTCAAACATCCTAGCAAACATTAACCCTGCCTCTCAAAATGATAGACTGTATTATGTTCTAATCTTCCCTCAAATACTTGATAAGAAAGGCTAATTTGAGTGCTGATGGAGTTGAGAATACAGCTGAAGCTCAAGAATAAATACAGATATCGTATCATAATCACAAAGAGGCCCGACTGCACACATTTAGAAACAAATTGGTCTCTTCACAAGTCCAATCACAGTTTTAGAGAGTTGATGCCGGCAGATTGAATTCTCTCTAAATTGGCATGGCAATGTCACAGATGCCACTTCAAATGAGGTTTGAACATATATTCATTCTGTAGCTCATTGGCTCATGTTAATCCTCTCCATTTGCCACTTGTCAGAGGCAAGTGTCATTTAGCGTTGCCATCATCTCACAGTATTTCAGCCTTTCAGTAACTCACACAAGGCGTGTCAGTCTTTCAATCAGGCAGAGGTTTCAAATCAGCTTAAACTTTTCTGGCCACTGATTAGATAATAAATTATGCCAGAAATGTATCCAATTTGGCAAAATATGAAGTCTTTGTAGAATGAATTATAGCTCAAAAGTTGGTGGTGTGTGGACGTAGTTTACAAATCCTCAAGCACTGATGGACTTCTCCACACAGATATAATGAGCAGTATAGACAAAGGGAGCAACAGAGTGCCCTCACTGGACCTATACCGTTAAAATGTGCATTACCACCATGTCACACCGCAGTGGGGGCAAATCTACTCAGTTGAAAGCTCCAGAACAAGCTAGTTAAATGGACCTTGAGGTGAGATTGTTTTGTCGACTGCTGTTTTACGGTCAGGAATTAACTTAAGAGCTCAACTTTTAAGCCAAAATGAATGAAAAGTTCTTTTTTTTTTTAAAAAAAGGGAAATTGGAACATTGACAATTTCATGATTGTAGAAAAAATAACGGGGGTAAAGTAAATTTAGTGCACTTGTAAATTAAGTAAGCAGGAAGTCATATGATCGAAAGCTCATATAAAGCTACCAAATATACCTTGAGGTGAGATTGTTTTGTCAGCTACGCTCTGAGTGTTCACTCCAGCTATAACAACAACATTATGGTTAAGTGAACGATCTTTGTTGTGTTCATCCAACATCACACCTACATTGGCTTCTTATCCCCATCATGACACTTATTATAGAGCTCAGCAGCTCCACTGAACGGCTCCAGGGATGTAGGTGAGAAAGACCAACATACAGTACATTCAACCCCCAAAATCACTCACAAGCTATACAACACGAAGCACATTTAGTTTTTATCATTGTCTATACATTTTTAATAGCAAAAACACTCCTCATACACTTCACCTTTAAAACACTGTAACAGATCTCTACATTAAGATACCAAACCTGGACATGCATCAATGGAAAATACGTTACACACACGTTTAATGGTGTGAAGTCTCGCAGCTAGTTCAGGCAGACACTCACAAGACAAACCCTACATACTGCAGTAGAAATCCAGCGCACCCTCTGCAGAGGGCGGTCTATTTAAACCGGTCAAAGCCCCGCCCACTCCTTTGCCGTGCGGTTCACCTGTTGGTTTACCTGTGTGCTAAATGTGCTGCAAACTGCTGCGGTTCATGTGGCATTTCTAAACGGATTCTGCCTGCAAACAGTGCAATCGTGTCACCTAAGGGTTCCTTTGTGAAGGAAATGTTCCTGTTGGGTTCTGGTTCTGAAATCTGAATCTGATTGCCTCATGGAGCACTTCAAACCGGAAGTGGAGTTTTCTGCTCCTGTGGCTGCAAATTAGGATCACATCACATTAGACCATCACAGTGGATTTACTCCACAGCTTCCCTTCATGGAGGTAAGTGTTTGCAGCTGGTGCTAAAATGCATATTGTGAGAGTGGCTCTGTTCAGTTGTTTGTGTGCAGTCACTATGAGGCTGCTGACATGCTGATGTGCTCTCCTTAACATCTGATTGTGTAGACATCTGCTATGTGCAATATTTGCTTTGGTCATCAATTATTTCCTTGGTGTCTAAGATTTGCTATTGTTCTTGGACTTTCTTATTGGCTCAAAGTAAACTCAAATCTCTAGCAGAGAGTAGAATTATGTTGTGTATGTGTTGGATTTGGTGATGAAAATATTGTTGCAGTAATTTTCACTTGCTGCCAGCTTTGATTCTATCCAGTTTCTCCACCTCATGTTTCAGTGTCAAGTGTTGGATAAACATTTAACTCAAAGCACGTCACAACTTGCTTTATTATTCTTCATATCACTGGTGAGCTCCTGATATGCTGCTAAACTCACACTGCAGCCTTAAGATTACAGAAAGATGACTTATTTATTGTTTATTAAGTTAGTACTAGTCTGCTGCATAGTTGATGTGTCTTATCCTGCTCTTGCATGCTGTATCAGGTAGATTGCTGGTTTAAGGTTTTCCCATCTCCGTTTACTATGCAGCATATTCACTTCTATGGTTGGAGGAGATTTGTTGGGAAATAGCCACATGGCGGCTAGATAAACAGTAGATTACACATAATAACTGTGTGTTTAATGCGGTATCCAATGCTTTGTTATGGTCATTCTTTCAACCTCTTGTGTGCTGAGCTTGCTGTATTAGTGGTGAGTTACGAGGCGAATATCACATGTACAAATATTAACTTTGCACATAATAAATATGTTCCACATGAATTGTAAAACTGAAGCTATAATGCTAAAGCCATCCATTTTCTTAGCTTTACTCGTGTATTGCTTCCTGTATTTATATGCAGTTTATTTACAGCCAGTTTATACAGTCCCATGCACATTTAGTGTGCTGTTGCCTCAATAAACAAACCAAACAATGAAGTTGTCAACAAACCTCACACTTTCAGTCTGATTCATTTTTTCCTCAATCCTTTCAAAACAAAAGCAGTTGGCAGCTGCCAGTTAACCGTCTAAATGATTAACTTCTGTTCAGATTAAATATCACCAAACACAAACTGTTCAGCTTCAAACTTCATTTTCTTCACTCTCAACATGAGACAATAAACACACAACCGCAGATCATATTTCCTACCATTACAAACAATTCCATGTTGTTGTAAAAACTAATTGGTAAAATCTGATCTTGTTTATCCAGCCTCCTAATGAAAAATCTTTGTCAATGTTTTCTTAGCTTTCATTTTTTTCCTGTGTTTTCATTGGCCGATTCTGCTCCTCGGCTTCCCTTGAGGAGCATTGTGGGTAGGTCATATGATCTCGCACTACTCATCATCTTCCCTTTGATGAACAAATGAGAAGTCCTGCGCCCTTTGAAGCATTTTTGTGTGGCACGTTCAGGCAATTAATGCGTACATGAAAAGCCAAAGCGAGAATAGATGAGAAACGATGACGAGGAACGCGGGGAGGAAAGCGAAAAGAGTGGAGGGACAGTAGAGAGTGCGAGAGAGAGAGAGAGAGAGACGGGTTTCAAGCTTCATCACCTCTTTCCAGGTGTCTCTGCCCGCATGATTTCATCTGTGAACTGCAATCAACTTCCTTAATGAAATAAGTAATTAACATATTATAATTGTGCTACAGTTTGATTTGACAGAAATCATTTTCCATATCTAATTCTATGCTAATTTAATCTGTTCCTCACTCGCCAACATGACCTTTTGTGATTAAGTTTCATGGCAGATTTCTTCTGTGTTCCTGTGTGAGTGTGACTTTATGTGTAGGAGGGATTTATTTCAGAGTCTAAAAATGTACAGATTTCACTATATTACAGCAGATGACAAAACGGCTTTTTTTTGTGCAGTGGGAAATTAAGTAGCAGATTTTTTTACTGCATGTTCTACATGATCTGTTCCACATTATCTCCCCCGCTGTGTGTACATTAATCAAATAGTGGATTAGGTAGAGGATGGGATGCACTGATGTGTTGTATCTGTGCAGATTCTGACCTTATTAAGCAGGTCCGGTATTGGTCACATTAAATACAAAAAAATGTCACTGTTTCAGCTGTAAGTTACAGTCGTTCTGTCACAGCCGCAGCGTGTGCTTCACAACAACAGTGAAACCAATGTTACCAAAAACTGAAAAAAGAAGGATCAAAAAGGAAATAAATGTGCTTTAGTCCATGAGTAAAATGTTAGGAAGTCGTTTTGAAACATTTCATCGACAAAATAGATATTATTACATGTTTAACAAGTTTGATAATGGAGAGGGTCTCGGAAAACAATGAGGGTCGATGTTACATCTTAAATAGCAAACTTAAAGCAACTGGAGTAAAAAGGACAAATAGAGTGGAGCAGCCAAGTTAACTTGTCAAGTTTTGGTTAGTTTAAGAAAAGAAAGCAAAAAACTCAAGTTTTCTACACCCAATAAAAAAATCAGACTGTCCTGCCATGAAAAATGTCAGAAGGCTGCTGTGAGCTTCCTGGTTCCTACAGACAGTCAAGGTTGATTCAATTTAACCAGACCGTGATCCCTCCCTAATGAATTTATTTTAACCCTTTATTGAAGTAGTTATTTTAACCTAAAGCTAACCAAAACTTAAACCTACTACAAGGTGTTTTTAACTGGTTATGAAACAGTCTTAATTTAATATTGATGCCTCTATATGGCCTACATAAACCAACAAGATTTCTATATATTCCCCAAAATCAGAATAAGAGGCAGTAGAAACAGTACCACTTTTGTCAACAGGGTCTGCCAGAATCAACACAAAGTTGAAGTTCGCTGCCTTGACCATAGCAAAATAACCTGTAAGCGTTTCCAAAACCACAGACAAATGATGTCTGATTAGACAAATGTGTCATTTTGGAGGGCAATTATCATGTATTTTTCTCTTGATGCATTACAGTGCATCTCGTAAACTAATACAATAGAATTTATTAGTGCATGAACGTTCCCACTTCCAGTTACTTATGAATGATCATCATTTAACACTTTTAATCATTTACACACAGTGAGGTCATGTTATGAATTTTACATCTGGGGAAAAAGAGAGCTCTGGTATCAGATCAGTACTCAGTATCAGCAGATGCCTGGAGTCAGTATCCGAATCTGTGTCAGGAGAGAAAAAGTTGGATTGGTGCACTAGTTTGAGGCACAATACATTGTTTCTCATGAGCTGCTGTTGGACTACAGTGTGTTCACATTATTGTTATTTCAATTCCAGCTCATGTTGTGTTATGTTGTTTTAGCATTTCTTTGCTGTCTGTCATGCCGCTCCCCACTTTCTATTGTAGCAGAAATGTCAAAACAAATAATCTCGAAAAGAACACAGTTTCACCATTGATACAAGAGCAAAAAAACACAAGCGGTAATCTGACTATGTATGAAATATTCTCCTGGTTTCCAGACAGCAGCAGAGTCCCCGGGCCTCTTTAAGTCCACTCCTCCTGGCTGAGATTCAAACTCATCAGACTCGGTCCTCTCCAAGAAAAACAAGCTGCCTTTAGCTATCAACACACTAGCAATCATGCTCATGAGAGACCGTAGTTGTGATGATCACATGAGACTCGAGCTATCATGATCACAAGTTTTCATGTTCGGGAGATTTACCCTCCAGAAAGAGCAAAATAAATATCATTTTACGTAATTACAAAAGGTCAAGCAGTCTGTGAGGGATGCAGGAAGTGGAGAGGAAGTAATCAGAGCAGCAGTCTGGCATTAGGAAGACTGACAGAATATGTGCCAGCCAGTAACGAGACAGCGTATTGCCGAGGTTCTTGTTTTTGCTGTATGATGGCTCCGAGGCCTCGGGGTGCACTGACAACATTACCATACTCTTCACCTCCTATACACAATGCTCATGTCATCATCGCCTTGGTGTGGCGTCACCCATTTGAGACTTGACACTGTTGCTGTTTTAGAGTGTCACTTAAGGTTTCAGGCATGAGCTTATTAGTTCAATCAGACTCAGCGCGGATGCTTAGTGTGTGCCAACTTAAAATCAAATCGGAGCATGTTACACTTGAATGCCAACTTCTCCCTGTGTGGCTTTTACAGTTGGTGTAAAATTTGATTTCTTTGAGTAGACGGTGGCTTACAGCAGTTACGGTGACGGATTTGAGAGAAGACTTTTAATTTAATGTTCTGTTCTGGGGAAAAGTCTTGCATCTTTAGGTACATTTTACAGTTAAGAGAAGATGCAGAAGGCAGGCGCTCAGAGGTAATATTCATGTCACTAGGCTGACTGTTGTCGTATGCAGTTGCAGTGTCCATTTTGATTTTGATTTGTGTCTGCTTAGCGTTTTTCCCCTGGGATTTCCTTTACTGCCACAGTATTTCCTTTCATCTTCCCTATTTCTCACTCTCCACTTTTCTGCACAGTTGAGTCAGTCGCCACCAAAATCCCCGCCTGGCTATTGATTCTCATGTGAATACGACCATGCCAAACAACTGAGGTGAAAATAGATTTGTTTTATGACTCAGGCAATAAGCTCAAATATGCAGGCACATGATGGTTTTTTTTTCTACAAACTGAAGAACAGCGTGATTTGTCCCCCCGTGCTACATTCTTCCTGAATATCTGCAACATGATTTATGTCAAGCACTATTTACTTTTAATCTTTTTATTGTATTACACAATTGGAATACACATTTCAATCAAGGCATAATTACAGCAAATGGCCTTTAAAATGGGTGTCATAATCAACATTTTGTGGATTTCGCTGAATTCCAAGCATGCCAGAAACTACATGATCATTTAATATGCAGGAGAAAGATGCACTGAAGCCCAGAGTGAGTAGACCTCTACCTCCCTCATTCCTCAGGATACTAGAAACCTTTCTGTTTCTCTTGAAGAGCAACCCAACCTCACAGTAGGAAGATTTTAGCCATTTTCACAGTGTGCCCCAATGTCTTGACGCTCATGTTGTCAGGTGTTC